GTGGAAATCTACAAAATAGCCCTCTCAGATGTCAACTGTTGCTTTAAGTAAAAGTTGACATGTAATAATAATATATTAAATCATTGCATTATTTATAATTATATTAAAAATAATGTAATAAAAACTATTTCGTTGAAGGACTGAAAATCATGAGCCTGTCTGGGGCCCTCGCGTGTTTCAGCCCAGCCCTGTAGGTTCTCCCAGCTTCTCCTTCCCTGCCAAGGCTCAGGCGCCAGGCAACTCACTGCCAGCCTCCCAGAGACCAAAACCACCAAGATGAACTTGGTGTGCTTTTAACTCTCCAGTGTTTGGTAGCTGTGCTCCTCACCCACATCTTTTTCCTTCTAGTGATTACCAGAGAATCCTTAGAATGAAACAAGATCTGAACGCTTCCCTGTGGGGCCAGCAAGGAAGAAGTAGAGAGACTGCATTCCAGTCCTTAGCAGTCTTGGGGGCGACAAAGCTAAGAGGCTGCGCGGGGTCCTCCTCAGCAGCTTTGTGCTGGGCTAAGCTCCAGGAAGGCCCAGTGGAAATTCCCAAGAAGAGCCACTGAAAGAGTTTTAAAAGGGAAGGGGCGTGGTGGTGAAGAAGGTGCTAAAGGAAGATGTGTCCAGTAGTAGGGTATGGGTGGACAGGAGCCTGGGGGTCAGTGAGGAGGCTGTGATCCAGCTGAGAGGGGGGGGCCTGGGTTAGGGGGCCAATAGTGGGGACAGAGGAGAGGACTAGCACAGGAAGTGTTTTGAAATTACAGTTGACAGTTTATAACTGACTTTATATGAAATGTCAATTTAGGAGAAAGTCTTAGTGGTTGAAGGAATCACATTAGAAGGGTAGAGTGAAATACTGCATAAAATATATCGAAGAAATCAATGTGATTTTGTGACCTTAAAAGAAATACACGTTTTCAGCTCTGTCCCAACGAAATGGTCCAATAACAGCCACAGAAGCAGCACTCTTGCCCACACTAACTCATTCTCACTCCAGGCACCCAGATTTTAATCACTAATGCTTTTTTTTTTTTTTTTTAACTAAAAGGAATTGGGTCTCCTTGGAGTTGATTCCATGCCTTAGGGCAGAAAAAAATCAGGATGGGCCTTGATCCTGTTTCCAGAAAGAAATCCAGAATCTGGTTTCTGATAGGCAATGCTAAAAAGATAAAAGAGCCAACGAAGGGAGCTCCCGCCTGCCAAGTTGTGCCAATCTGAGCAAAAAATACAACAACAACAACAATGGTTAATTTAAAACACTGAGTTTATGAAAGTCCACGAGTTCATGACTTCATGCTAACAGGAAATATAGAGAAGGCTTGTAATTAAAAAAGGAGTCAACATAGTAGCTATGCCTAATCTTTATTGTTTTTAATAAGTGGGAAAGTATTGGTAAATGTGGGTATCTTGTTTCTTTGTCAGGCTTGTGTCTGTTAGTAAAGTGTAGACGTGTGCTAGTTTGTATCTGGGGGAGTGAAGGAGTGACAGACACCTGTGAGGGAGCCAAACACTCCTGTGAGGGGCTGCACCGGGAAGGTAGGAGGGGGTCCAGCAGCAAATTCACTCTGGTGGCCACGTGCCATGACCATGAATGAGCGTTCACGAGTGCTGTCCTAGCTGATAAGTCAGCCTAACGTCCCCAAAAGAAATGGTAGCTATCCCCTCCTTCTCTCTGGGAATAAAACCTTTAGCTGGCCCCTCTTGATTATAATGAGATGTTAGTAAGACATACATGAGTTTCCAAATAGGCCAGCAGACCAGACTTAACGTATCATAATGACTGTATGGTAAGTTAGTTAGATAACATCCAGCCGTGGAAAATGTAAGGAAATCTTCACCAAGCCTCAAAAGTAAAAATCAACTTGAAAGAGAGCAAAGAAAGCCACCTGATGTAAGATACGTAACTTTGACATAAAAGGGAGGAATCGCATGCCAGCAGGTCAGGTGTGAGTTGACTTAGACTGTATAACCAAGTCCCGGGTCCCATGCCAAACCCACAAGTCGATAACCCAGGACCTTCAGCCTCGGCTCATCAGAAATTGTGTTCTTTTTTGGAGAGGGGGAGGGTATGGTAAGATCCTTAAACCTAGGCAGGTGTAAAATTTTTATTTAGTGAGTTATTGCAACCCTAGAATGGTATAGAAAAACCAGGACACCGAGAAGGTGCAAGAATGAGTATGGATTAAAACACAAAACAGTTAAACTCGATAGTCACATCTTTGCAGCCAGTTTTGATGTAAAGATACTCAGTTTTGTTACCACTATATTTTGTGGGTCCTTTTTGCTTTTAAGGTGTCTTAGAACTTTTAAGGGATCTTCTTCATCAGCCTTGAGATTTTAATTCTTACGCGTATTTATAGTTGTACTCTACTTTCTTCATAATTGGGGAAATTTATTTTTGTGAATTCCTAAGTATTGACTCATTTGTTGTTTAAGTAGTATGTGATTAATAAGGGAAATGTTGACCATTTAATGGTTAAAAGAATGCTAATTGAAAAATTTAGAAGATGAATAAAATGGACATTAAATGAATTACAGTTAGTGGTGACTACATATATTTCCATGCACAAAATCCCCTCTGACAGACATGAATTGACCAGCACAGAGGATAAAGATTTTCAGTTTGTGTAGATGGGTGGGTCATGGCTACAGTGAAAGAGATGGAGACGTTAGGAGGGGCAGATGGTTTTAAAGGAAACTGAGTCACCAACTGAGTTAAATTTAAGTGTGTATAAAGTGGTAACCCAACATTTGAGTATACATTTTAAGGCATGTATTAATTTAGTGAACGTGCTGAAGGGTTACCCCGCTTCCCGCATAATTGGACATTGGCTGATTAGGCAAAAACCCTAAAGGAGATTTTCTTTTTTTGTTTCTAATGAGCTTTTTTCCCCTAGAAAAATAAAGCTGTTTCACAGATATTATAAGGCTGTATACTTCAGCTGTTTAATCAGCCATGTTATGCTTAGAGAAGTTTGCTCTTGTTTGTATTGCATGTATGTTATAGTATGAAGTTCATACGTGTCTGCCCAAAAAGCCACATATGGCATTTCTCTGGAGGATTCAAATTAGTTATTTCTCTAGGTTATTAATGGCTGACTTGAAAACCTTCAGGCTTCACCTAAGTGAAGAGAGAAATTGAAGAAATTTTTACCAAACACCCAAATTTTACCAGATAATTTAGGCAAGAGTATAAAATGTCATGGCTTAGAATGGTCTAATAGTTGACCAGTTCACCATGTTGCCTGTATAAACAAAAATTTTAAATTAATTTAGTGAACTTTAGTTGCTGTTAGAGACAGAAGGTACTACATTTTAATTGAGTTAGTTTAAAATATTCTAAAACTTGGTGTATTCCAGCGTTCACATTTCAGCCACTTCTCATGAGCCAAGATTTTATAGTTTTCCAAGTAGAAAGGTAATGTTTTTTCTGGAAATATGACAGGGTTGCAAAACAGCCTTTTAATGAGCAAAATTAAATGAATCAAAAGCTTAGGGATTAAACTTCCCCTGATGTTATGTGGGTTTAAGGAAATATTACACAATAAGAGTTTTCTGAGTTTATCCAGATTTTGAACATGTGTAAGATTGAAGCAATGCTAAATTAAATTAGTAGCATGGCATACTCCACCCTCTTCTAATGGCTTCCAGCGAGAAAATTCTAGGACAATAAATATGCTGTTTCCATTAAAAATCTTGTTCTACTTAGAAACAAGAATTCTGACAGCCAATTAAAATACAGATTCTTTTACGGAAAAATCAGATCTATAAACCTTCAGATTTACAAAACAGTTAAATTACAAAATAGTGAATCCAGTTTTACACAGATTTTTTGTTTTAAAAAGAGGGTTCACACGCCACTCGTCTGTCAGTAGCCATGCTGTGGCAGCAGCTCACACAGAAGAACTAGAAGGACCTACAACTAGAATATACAACTATGTACTGTGGCTTTGGGGAGGAAACAAAAGAGAGGAAGATTGACAACAGATGTTAGCTCAGGGCGAATCTTTTCCAAGAAAGAAAAGAATTTCCTTCCTTCAAAAAAAAAAAAAGTTCATTTCTGGTTCCCTTTGTTTAAAGAATAAATGTTCCTAGTGCATGCAAAATATTTTCTTACCTTTTTTTAGGAATACAGCAACTGTGTGAATAATAGAACTTTTTGATGTATTTATATGGCAGCCTCTCATGCCTCTATGATTAGGCTCAAAAGTGATCCTAATGATAGAACTGAGAAGAGCTGTCCCCGTTCTACAGAGGAGCTGGTGAAAGCACAGAGCTATAGGGATGGAGCAAGGAAGGGAACTTAGTTCTCTTGGGCCAACACTTTTGGAAAGGGCTGTGCTGAGCATTGCCATCTCAGTGATTCTCAATCACAGGGTGTCCGGGCACCCTCACATCCGCGTGATGAAGCCTCATGGGAAAGAGGGGAGGTCTGTAGTTGGCAGAAGCCTCCTAGAAGCTGCTTCTGTATCGCCTCCTGTCAATGTGACGTGTGTGTGTCTCACACACAGACGCACAAACCCTGTGCACATCACTGATAGCTAAGTGTTGGCAGTCAGAGCCCATGGAACTCCAGCCCAGGTGAGTTGAATTATGAGCTCTGCACGCTTTGGTGGAGAATGTCTTGGTCATCTCCACAGATTACCTATGTCTATAAGGCTGAGCTGTTTCCAGGAACTTTTTCTGTTTTTGTTTGTTTTGCTGTCATTTCTACTATGAACCATTGTTTTTTCTGGCACAAACTTTAATATAAAGATCGGGATCCTTATAGGCCGAAACACATGTTGTGGCTCAAAACTCCTAGCGCCATTACCCGGCTTATTGATTGCTTGCCTCCACCTTTTCCATATCTTTGAATATCCTTAGAAATGTCTTGAAATTAAAAAAGTATATATGTTTACTGATGAAAGGATGTGTGCATGCATATAGAACAAGGGACAGAAACTGCCTCCAGAGGAAATTGTACAAATATGTTAATTTATTACAAAATGTCCACGCACAGAAAAACACAAGAAAACTTTTATCCTTTTATATTTGGGAAAGGAACTGGTTATCTCAGATACAAAATAATTTACACATAGTCCATACAATTTTATTTTATATAGAAATAGGTCATTATTACAACAGCTGTACAATTCACTACACTGCGTCTTATAATTACATAAAATCTTTTCCTTAGAAACATCTCAACGTAACAAAACATACAAAAAAAGCAAAGTGCATTTTGAAAAGGAACATCCAATCCTCGGTCTCCTCGTGAAGGATATGTAGAAAGATGCAGCATTCTCACTCAAAGGGCCAGCACATGGCGGGCTTTCGTTGAAGACCTGAGCTCCACAGGCCAGTCTGGCCTGTGCGACTCTGCCTTCACAGTCCTAGAGTTCTCAGCAGATTCCGGAACGTCAGCTGCGTGATTGTGCTTTGCTTTGAGTCCGTCTTTGTAGTTGCAATCAACAAAGTAAACAGGAAACAGTCCAGTGTTATATTTAGGGGAAAAAATAATCACCAGCCGCGGTGGGGTGAAGAGCCTCATTCCATTCGGGTTGAGGCCAGAGGGTGCGGGTCTGCGGCCTGGTTAATAACGACCAGCGTGGCGATCTAATTGGTGGGCTGTTTTTGTTACTGTGGTCTCCAAATGAAGTCATGAGACCTTATTATTTTTAAAAACTGAAAGTGCCTAAGTTATCTCCTCTGTGCAGCTGTGCAAATTAAAACAAAAACAACCACTTAAAAATAATGAAAAATAATCTCTTTATTTTCTCTCTTCAACAGATCTCTGACCCAGTGCTTCTCAAACGCAAAGGAAAGAGGATCAGGAGAGTGAAGGCCAGCTAGCACGTGTGGACGGGCCACAGCCAGCTAGGGTGGCCCGTGTGCTCTCGGGAGGATGCAGCGAGATGCTCCAGCGGCTAAGGTAAACTGAGTAACAACGCTGTCGTGGGGTACTCAGTTCCCGTCCAAGTATGGCTGTAGAGTGTGCCCGAAAATTGCAGAGGCAAAGGAAGCACAGCCAGTCTTCCCGATCATTTCCCACGTGCCAGCCGCCGCGCTCTGGGGATAGCTACCACCCAGGAGTTCTGAAATGTATGCAGTGTGCACAAAAGCCAAAGGTTTAGTTTAAACTCCTCTCCCCAACTCCCATGGCCAACTCTCCCCTCTTCCACTGGTTAAAGCTGACTATGACCCGACTGAGGTGCCAGGGCACTACCGGGGCGGCTGCTGGAGGCCTGGGGACTCAGACAGGCTGCTGACCCTTCGGGGAGGGCGCGGGGGCTGGGGCTGCGGGGTGTAGCCCAGGGTCCCTGGCTGTTGCGAGTAGGTGGAGAGAAGCAGCAAGTCCTGCTGCTCACTGTGCAAAGAAGTCGGCGTCTGTACCTGGAAAGAAAAGAAAAAGGCTCCAGAGGTGGTTCTGTGATTCATCACCTCCTCAGCTGACTTGCTGGGGCGTGATGCACACATGGTCAGACTACAGGACTCTTCCTCCATGGCTGGGGGTCACGTGGTGAGGGCTCGGGCAGGGCCTTGTGTGGGGGTGGGAAGAGAAGAAAGGAACCTGAGGCTCTGCCAGATGGGTGTGAATTCTGCAGCCAAGCTCTCTGCCAGCACCAGGGGTTCCTTCTGGCTCAGCAGGCCTGGGGCTAGGCTGGGGGGAGTGGTTTCCTGAACACGTGCCCACGACCTACCCGTAGCTTGTGTGTTTCTGGATGTTGGAAGCTGAGACCACATGCAGATAATCGACAGGGCGGAATCCCAACACACACAGTCTGCACACTTTCACTGTGGTCCCTGATGCTGGGACTACTTCCAAACATTCCAGCTGCCAGCATCTACTAGGAAACATGCTCGCTTGAAGCTCAGACACTTCAACTGGTTGAACCCTAACTTTGGAACCTTCAATCTTAGTCTCCGCTATTCCAGTCCATGACATCTCCCCCTCCAGGTAACCCAGTCCACCCGGTTTGCGAAGCTGCCCAGGAACGCCCACCCCTCCACTTCTGCTCAGGCTGTCTCTTTTGCTGGAATGCCGTCCCTTCACCTCCACTTGTTCACCCACACGTCAGGCATTTCTCAAACATCTGGCTCTGCAGTAGGTGTCCTCTTCCTCCCTCCTCCACGAAGGCCTCCCAGCCATAGCAGTCTCACTGGCACTAACCCAGAGCTGGGCTGCTCTCTCTGATGTCCCCTCCCCCCACACTGCGCTCTCTCTGATGGTGTGCCCCTCCCCCCCCCCCCACTGCACTAAGAGGTCCCTGAGGGCAGCAAGAAGGCCTGGCAGCTCTCTGTATTCTTAGCCCTGCGTCTTGGGCAGAACAGGTGCCTGCAAACACATCAGCTGCCAGTGCTGGAGGAGTTTATGGGAGGCCTCGAACTCTCCCCGCCTCTCCCAGCCTGCTCAGTCTCTCACTTCCCCTCCTAAACCACTTCTGTGTTCAGCAAGCTGACGAGATATGCAGAGCCAACGTCTTGAGTTGACTCTCACTATGCTTGGGGTCAGGGAGATTTGAAAAGTGTACCACAGGTGGTTTAGCAGCTTTGGAATTAAAGCTGGTGGGGTGAAGAGAAAGCCATGCCTGCCCTGGGTGGGGTTGGAGGCCGAAGAGGAGGCCCCACAGGCCCCGGCAGGGCTGGGGCAGGAAGGGGCACCCCGGGCACGTGTGGGAGGGAGGCCAGAGCCCAGCAGACACTTCTACCCCTCTGAATCCCCCTCCCTCCTTCTAGGGTATTTGGCCCTTGCTTGAAGTAAGTAGTGACCACGTATAAACATGCCCCACATTCTCCTGGAAAGCCCTGATTTCATGCAACATTATTGTATTTATTAAGGAAGTTTGATGAATCTTTAAACAGGATTTAATTTTATATTTGTATGACTTTGTGTATAAACACACTAACAAGTCTGACAAACACTGTAATCAGTCTGATTTTTGTTCTAAAAATAAGGACACCATAATAAAAATTGCTTTTTAAAAATGGACCTTGATAGCACGTAACCATATGAGGCATAATAGCTGATTCTAAATTTCTCATACTATATAAACATAGACTTTATAAACTTTGAGCATTATAAACTATAAAGAGTCCAATACACATCTGCTGGGCTTATTTTGGTACTGAAGACTAGGACCCCCTTGAAAGCCAGGGAGGAAAGGGCTGGCAGGCCTGGGCAGTGGAGCTCCCCCTGTCTCCCTAGCCCCTCGGCGGCCCGGCGCCCACCTGCAGGAAGTGCTGCGGCTGCTGCTGCTGGGCCTGTGCGGGCTGCAGGGGCGATAGCTGGGAGGTGGGGAAGCTGGGGTGAAGCACTGCCTGTCCCATCAGCAGGATGGGGGTCGAGGCGCTGCTGCTGGTGGTGTGCACGTCTGGACTTTGAAACATGGCCTGGCTCTGTGGATACCTGGTGGGTTCACACGGGAAGAAGAAACAGACCTTTAAGGCAGCGGGGTTGGATGACACCAATAGCACAGCAACCCAAGGAAAAATAGATAGATTGGACTTCATCAAAGTTACAAACTTTTGGGCATCAAAGGACACTAACCATAGAGTGAAAAGGCAACCTAGGGAAAATATTTGCAAATCATAGATCTAATAAGAGATTGGTATCCAGAATTTAAAAAGAATTCCTATAACTCAACTACAACAACAAAAACAAACAACCTGATTAAGAAATGGGCAAAGGGCTTGAGTAGACATTTCTCTGAAGAAAGGATACTCATGGCCAAGAAACACGTGAAAAGAGGCTCAATGTCACTAGTCGTTAGGGAAGTGAAAATCAAAATCAAAATGAGATACCACTTCACACCCATTACAATGGCTATTATGAAAAAACCCAGAAACTGACAAGTGTTCGTGAGGATGTGGAGAAGCTGGAACTCTCGAGCACTGTTGCTGGGAATGTAAAATGCAGCTGCTGTGGAAAACAGCAGTGATTCCTCAAAAAATTAAACATAGAATTACCATATGATCTAGCAATTCCACTTCTGGGTACACACCCAAACGAAGTGGAAGTAGGGACTCAGATATGTTTGTACGTCATGTTCATAGCAGCATTATTCACAACAGCCAACAACCCAAGTGTCCATTGATGGATGAATGGATAAACCAAATGTGGTATATACATACAATGGACTATTATTCAGCCTGAAAAAGGAAGGAGATTCTGACACCTGCTACAACACGGATGAACATTGAGGCCATTATTCTGAGTGAAGTAGGCCAGTCACAAAAAGACAAACACTGTATGATTCCACTTAGATGAGGTATCTAGAGTAGTCAAATTCATAGAGACAGAAAGGAGAATGGTGGTTACCAGGGGCTTGGGGTAGAGGGAATGGAGAGTTAGTGTTTAATGGGTACAGAGCTTCAGTTTGGGAAGATGAAAAAGTTCTGGAGATGGATGGTGGTAATGGTTGTACAACAGTGTGAATGTACTTAGTGCCACTGCACTGTACATTTAAAATGAGTTAAAATGATATACCTTGTTATATATATTCTACCACAATAAAAAAAAAAAAAAGAAAGAGGCGTTGATGATAGTGGGCCATTACCAAGGGGCAGAGGATCGCCATTTAAGAAAGCTCTGGAGGGGTATAGTCTAGGAACAGATGTTTAAAGACACTGGTAAGTCCATTTTCATATTTTTAGAAATGTTATTTCTCTATATGGGTCATTTGTAACAGGCATTAAGGGTTCCAAACTTCCCCTGAAGATGCCTCTGCGTGTGGGAGGCAGATTCTGACACGCCCTAGAAGACGGAGTGTGAGGTCATGTCTGGAGGAGACGGTCGGGGAAGATGGAGAAGATACAAATTATTGGGTTGACCAAAAATGGCAGTTAGAGTTCCCAAAGGAAAGAATTTCTGTTTTTGCCTAGTTCACTGCATTTTAAGCATCTCTGGAAAGCAATGTAACAAGATTCTTTGTTTCCACTTATTTGGATCACAGGCAAAGAAAGAACAAGCAAAATCCCAAACCCAAACCAAACCCCCTTGCCTAGCTGAGCGCATCAGCAGAGAATTTAGAGGTGGTTTCCCGAAGTGCACATTCCCCACGTTCCCATCATGGGGTTTTAATCGGGATAAAATGAAATGAGGTAGGTACAGGCCCCGACCCTCAGAAATGCTCAGGAAGCAAATGCTGTTATATTATTCCTGGCTGAAGGAGGACACAGGAAGAAGGCCTTCCAGGGGATGGTCCCAGGGGATGGCTGAAGGCACGAGGGCAGCCAGGCCTAACTAGCTAGCACTGTCTCAGTGAACTTGTGACACAAATGAAACCAGTGTTTATACAAAAAGACGTCTGTGAGATGGCTCTATTGCTGCCTCATTTCAAAGGGCTAGAAAATATTTTCCAGTAGCTTTTCATGTATTCACTTCTCTGTCTCCAGTAACCTTTATCGCTAGTAATTAAACAGCTGAGCAAAGCCGCTTCTGGTCCTGGGGCTGCGAGTGGAGAGAGACTGGGGAAGGGAGAGAGAAGACTGTGTGTCTGGGAGGGGAGGGGGCCTCACACTGGCAGGGTGTCACAGCCCCCTGCACAGCGCCGGAACCACGGATTGGGCGAGCTCAAAGCGCACCTGTGGAATCAGCTGCCGGCATCTGTACCTGCGGTCAGCTGGAGCCTCGGGAGGGCTGGGGATGGGGGATACGGCTACACTGACCTGGGGTGTGACCAAGGGTGCAGGCATTTAGACCTGTAAAGAAGTTCTCGGATGACTACAAACTAGAGATATAACCAATTGTTTCATTCAGATCCTTTTCTGAGCATGGAACGCTGACACTAAGGTTTATCTGCTGAAATGGGAAATGGAAGAAAAGCTAAGGGGAGGAGTCCTTTCAAAGGCTGTGGGCGCACTCTGACCCTGCCTTTAGCCTGAGACTCACAGGCAGATGGAAACCCTGCCAGCTGAGACCACTCAGTGCGGCTCCCGCCGCCTCCCTGCCCCTGGGGCCACCTACTTGACTTGCCGTCCAGTCCTGCCGACCTCTGAGGGCTGCCTCGCGTCACAGGACCCAGGCATCATGGGCTGGATGGGCTGGCTCAGCAACAGCCTTGCAGCAGAGGAAGAGATCAATGGGAAACCGTGATCAGCACCCAACCTGGAGACCTGCTGGCCGAGGGCAGCACCCACCCAGCCTGGCTGACCCTAATCCCCACCGGGCCTGCTCGGTTCTCAGAGACAATGAACACAGCAGGTCACTTCCTCTGGCCATCAAGACCCTAGCCCTCTCTTGCCGCTTCATTAGCTGAGAAAAACTGCAGAGGCTTCAGACTCTGAACTCTGCCTCCATCCACAGCAGAAAGGAGAGCCGAAATGAATAGTGTAAAACTCCATCCCAGCTATCATGTTTATTTATTTATTTTTTTGTGAGGGAGATCAGCCCTGAGCTAACATCTGATGCCGATACTCCTCTTTTTTTTTGCCGAGGAAGATTGGCCCTGAGCTAACATCTGTGCCCATCTTCCTCTACTTTATATGGGACGCCAACATAGCACGGCCTGACAAGTGGTGCGTTAGTGCGTGCCCGGGATCCGAACCTGTGAACCCCGGGCCACCAAAGCGGGGCGCCCACACTTAACCACTTGCGCCACGGGGCCGTCCCCCCAGCTCTCTTTCAAACAAGGACAGTCTCCCACCTGAGCTGCCGGTCGTGGCTGAAGTCCGGGCTGGGCTGGCACTGGCTGGCATCCTGGGAGGTGGGAGCGGGTGTGGTCAGGCTCAGGGTTGGCGGGAGCACAGCCGGAGCGCTGCTGAACTGGGGCGTCAGGCTCACTGAGTGGCTGCTTCCCTGCATCATCGGCGAGCTGCTCATTGGCTTTGGACCCTGGAGCGTCATTGTAAGGAGAAAGGTGAAACTCAGACTCAACTCAGGGGTCATCTCTCCAGGAACCCTCCCCAGAACCTCTTTCTTCTCCTCACCTTGGCCTTTCCTCTGCCTTGGGACCCACTGACCATTTACTGAGTTATTCTGATCTTGTGACTGTCTTCCCCATTGGATTGTAAGCACCTCGAGGATTCTCTGAATCTCTTGGGCCTAGGACAGTGCCAGGCTCTCAGAAGGCAAGCAACAAATATGCATCAAACTGAACTACCTTCTGCGTCACAAATTCCACTCCAGACGCGTGGACCTCTTTGCTGATTCTCCGACTCAGCAGGCCTACTCCTGCCTCAGGGCCTTTGCACTTGCTAATCCTTCTATGTGCAGTGCTCTTCCCCACCCCGATACCAATATGGCTCATTCTCTCATCCCCTCAGGTCTTTGCTCAATATTATCTTCTCAGTGAGGCCTTCTCTGGCCGCCTATTGACAACTCCAACCCATCCCCTCCCTCACCAGTGTCCCTGCACCGTCATTTGTCACACTGTGATTTTCACTCGTTTGTCTCTCCCCACTTGCATCAGAGGTTCTTTTTTTCTTTTCTCTTTTGTTTGCTGCCATCCCTGGGTGCTAGAACTCAGTGCCTGGCGTGCAGTGAGTGCTCAGTAAATACGGGTGGAGTGAAATCGTAAATGAACACGGGAATGGGCTCGGTTGGCTTTTGCTGTTTGGGTTTCCCACTCTTGTTTCACTGACTGTCCATCCACATGACGGCACCCCTGTGCTTTAATTCTCAGAGCTTTTACAAAATCTTTCACCATCAGAGTGTGAATCCTTCTTCAGTTTTTTTCTTTTCCAAAATTTTCTTGGCCATTCGCACCCATTAATTTTTCTGTTGACTTTTAGAACCAAAAGGCTGCATTTTAAAGTAAAACCCTTAAATCTGGATGAAGAGGGACTAAACTCTCTCATGTAGGTACTTCTCCACGTTTTATGGTACGTGATTTGCTTGCGTTCCTGGAGCCCCTGCTAGACTAGACGCCCCGTGGGGTCAAGGGCAGCTCGTGTTCATCTTTGTTCCCCGGGGGCTGGTGAACAACGGGAGCCCCGCAGGTGTTTACTGAGCCCCCGCCTACGCGTGTAAACATAAGCAGCTGGAGGAGAGGCTGTCCCCTGCCTCCCTGTGATGTTGCAGAAGCAGGGGCTCAGAACTTCTTAATTCCACTCGATTCAAGTGCCATTTATTGACTGGTGGCCCTGTCAGATCGCAGGGTCACTGGTGGCTTGTAGTAAGCGGTAATGGCTGTGAGGGAAGGGCTTGGCAGGGAATCTGGGGGACCAGAGGAGTATGGTGGCCCTGGGGAAGGGGACAATGAATAGAAGCAGATAACCTGTGTGCTCCCACTGATAATGGCTAAAACCAGGAATGGATGATGGGGACGGAGGACACACGTATGGGGACATGCGGCTGTCAGTGTGAGCGTCTGCGATGTCGGCATCCACCTCCAACCCAGTTCAAGACCAAAGCTGAGAGTTTCAGCTGCATTAAATACTTAAGGCATTTTAACCTATTAATAGAACACAGAAGGAAACCAATACAACTTGGGGCTTCAAAGTGACTTAAAAAAACGAAAAATCCCACCACCGTAATCTAGCCCCCGTCACAGAGGAACGCACAGTATGTCTCCAGTTTGCAGAGCCGGCAGGCATCCAGTACGTCCTGGTCTGCTCTGGGGGCAAGGGCTGAGTCTGGAGACGGGCACGTTTACCTGGGTTGATCTCACACTCGAGTCTCTGAGCAGGTGCTGGTTTGTGACCTGGGCAGAGGCGATCTGCCCTGGACGCTGAGGGCTGGCCACGAGCTGGGGCTGGGCCCCTGGGGTCGACCTCTGCTGGAGCTGCTGCTGAGCCTCGGGCCGCGGGGCACTGCTGAAGCTCAGAGATACAGCTGGCTGCTGCAGAAACATCTGGAAGCAGAACAGGAATGCCTTTAAGGCTGGGCTCACGGGGCCTGCCCGGTCTGCACCTTCTTGGGAGGCCCTGTCCGCGGTAAGAGGTCAGCTGTTTTGCTCTCTCTGACCTGCCTGGAGAGCTCATTCACTCAACACGGAGACGCGGAGCACTGTGATGCCACAAGCAGAGTGCAAAGCCCGGACACAAGAGTGGGTCGGAGAGACACTGACCCCGCCTTCAAGGGGACAGCCCAGTGGTGGAGGGCTACCAGTGTGCAAGACCCTTAGACCCAGATGGTCTAGAAATAACCTGATGGACTCGTAAAGAGCCCAAGTTGGCTTATCAGTTTCTCAGTAGAAGGGAGGAATACCTTGTGAATAAAATGAATGATGCCATAATGGTGGCAGAGGGCTGGCTAACCCGTGGCGTGGGCCGCATCGTCCTGCCAGTAGGACCAGGCCCTGTGCCCGGCCTTGAATCTCTGACCAGTGACCGGCGTCTGTACCCATACTGCAGTTGGGCATCTTCAACCCAGTGCTCCCAGCTAAGACAGCAAATCTGCTCCCACTAATTAGGTGACTCTGCATTCCCAGGAAGCAAATGAGTCAGAGATGATGACATAACAAGTCCACGACTTTAGAATTATGTTCAAGAATAAGTTTGATAATCATCATGATAATCTCTGTACATTTTGTTATCTAAGATGTCTCAAACATTTTTTTTTTAAAGATTTTATTTATTTATTTTTTCCCCCCAAAGCCCCAGTAGATAGTTGTATGTCATAGCTGCACATCCTTCTAGTTGCTGTATGTGGGACGCGGCCTCAGCATGGCTGGAGAAGCGGTGCGTCAGTGCGCGCCTGGGATCTGAACCCGGGCCACCAGCAGCAGAGCGCGTGCACTTAACTGCTAAGCCATGGGGCCCGCCTGTCTCAAACATTTTAAAGGCTGTAAAAAGTTAGCCTGGTAATTTTAATTTGAAAGGTTTAAGAGAATTTGATCAACTTTGTAAAGAGTGTTTAAGTGTTTATGAAACCTTGATCTATCTCATTTATAAGTTTGGTGTATTTGGCTTAAAATAATTGCTTAGAAAGATTTTACTTCTTAGGTTTATAAGTTTGCCTTGTTAGGTATTGAAATATTTTGAAAGATTTAGATATATTAAATTTGTAAATTAATGGCGTTGGTAGATAATGTTGAGTATTTACAATTTGTTAAATTTATAAGCTAATTGAATATAAATAAAAACAAGTAAAAAGCATTGCTATTTTTAGACCAAAGTAGTAGATCTGTGAATAAAATATAATCTGTATATTGACTCTAAAGGCTTAAAAAAAACAACTTTAATAATTTTAATAATAATTTAAACCTCCGACTTGTAAGTAGCTCTTCTAACAAAAACTCCTCCTGGGCATAAACACTGATGTGATCTACGTCAGATTCTTGACTAGAGTGTTGCACTCCATTTTAGGGTTCTTCAGGAGGAAGGCTTCCTTCCTCCAGCATCTGGAGTTCTAACCCACCCCCGGTACCCGGTGCAGTAGAAGCTCATGTCCAGTACAGAACCGACAAGCCGACATCTGTCGAGTGACAGAGCGGTTCTGGAAGGCAGATGTAGAACCAGGCCAGGCAGACCCCCGGGGGAGCACTTCAGGAGCAGTTAGTTCATGCGTCTGGTTCGTAGTGGGGAAGCCATGTCCCGGAGGCCTGAGGTCGGCGGGTCCTCATCTAGTGCCCTTCCCACCACACCACTTGATCTCCCTACTTTCCAGTCACGCCTGCACCTCCTCCAGAGAAGCCTGCAGGTTTATTTATTTATTTTTTTTGGTGAGGAAGACTGGCCCTGGGCTGACATCCGTGCCCATCTTCCTCTACTTTATATGGGACGCCGCCACAGCATGGCTTGACAAGCGGTGCGTGGGTGCGCACCTGGACCTAACCTGTGAACCCCGGGCCACCGAAGCAGAGCGTGTGCACTTAACTGCTATGCCACCGGGCCGGGCCCCAGCCTGCAGTTTTGAATGAGGGCTCTTTGTCACTTGAGAAGTTAAGGAGAATTTTCTGGGTATCCATTGTCTCAGATTCAGTCGCCTTTCAGCACAGATTCAGTTTGAGGATTAGTACTTTGTGCAGTCCCAGCTACTTGTTATCACACGGCTTGTTTGCAGCACCTATGGTAACCTACGCTTCATCATTTCAGCAAAAACCCAATACTCAAACTAAAAAACAGACTTCTGGTAGGATACAGTTTACCTTCTGATTAGGGTTCAAATAAATGCAACCTGTATTTATGAGGTAGTATAATCTAGCTCAAATCAGAAATACCTTAGTTCCAACTCCAACCCCACCATGGACTAGTGGTAAGACTTGGGCAGTTTTTATAACTTTTCAAAGCCTTAGTTACCTCATTAATAAAATGGTGACATTCACAGCACATGCCTCATAAAGGACTGAGATTTGTGCTGAGACATAGTGCTCAATAAATGTTAGATGATAACAATAATATTTAAAATGAAAAAAAGGAGTTTTTGTTCCTTTGCCTCTTTGGGCATATAAAAGCTTTCTGAGGAATGAATGAGTGGAATAAATAAGTGAATGAATAAACACATAAATGAAGCTTTTGCTCAAAGAAGGGCAAACTATTTCTGCTTGTGATACGTCAGAGACTGCTTGGTCTGCTGCTCTGTCCCATTGATGTATGCTCTCTCAGGGTAGAACACTGTCCTGTTTATCTCTGCATCCCCACATAATGGGGTCTGCCGGATAGGTGGATGGAAGGATGGATGGATGGATGAATGGAAGGATGGATGGATGGAAGGATAAATGGATGGATGGATGGAAGGAATGGATGGAAGGAAGGATGGATGATGGGTGGATGGATGGGTGGATGGGTGTATAGATGGGAAAAAGGAAGGAGGGAGTTAGGGAAGGAAGAAAAGGAAGGAAAGAAAGGAAGGAAAGAAGGAAGGAAAGGAAGGAAGGAAGGAAGACATCATTTGCCATTGCTACAGGTGTCCTTCCAGGCATTCGTTTAAGTAGCCAGCAGAGGGCGCGCATGCCCTCTAAAAGAAAGCAAGAGGCTGCCTTCCCTGGACTGCAGGGAGTGACAGAGCCTTTCAGCAGCACGGCTCTCCCCATGTAGCCCCTTCATGACTCCATTTAGGTGCAAACACCAACACCCTAGCAGATCCCTCCCTCATAACCCAATTTTTTTTTTTAATCACACTTAGCAAGCATCACAGGCACGCATAGACTCAGTGAAAGCTCTGAGCGGATGGAGTAAAGTAGGAAAGTCCACTGAAGTTTGGATCAAGGACTTTGTGGGGGGAAACCCTGGTTTGCTGTTGTGCACATCCATGCCTCTGATTTACTGACTGACAATAAAGTAGAATTCTACGGCTTAAGAAGATGACTTGTTAAAAGGGCTCTGGGGTCAATTTTATAGAAAGCATGAGAAAAACAGTCCCCTAATTCAAGTGGAAAAAGTTAGCAGAGAAAAAAAAATACTTCCAATTTTCAAGAACAAACTAATCCTATGCTCATATGTGGTTTTTCCTTATTCTTATCTGCTTACTTTTACGAATACTTATTATTACAGAATATTTCAGAAATACACTAAATATTGTCTAATGAAACCCCATATAGCATCATGAGGCTTCAATAATTATCAACGTTTTGCCTTTCTTATTTAATCTATCCCCCCACTTTTTGAGGGGAAGAGTGGAGTAATTTTTATTTGCTTATTCTTTATGCTTGAATCACGTAGGTTTTTTTCTTTCATAACAAATATCACATTTTGGTTAAACATTTTGGAACATATTTCTTTAAATCTTTAAAACTGCAAAAATACAAGAAGGCAGACTGCTTGAGGAAATGTTCTCTGGCTTGGCTGTCTGTGGATTTCCATGATCTTTGGAAAATTCCACTGCAAAGATAAGGTCACAGCAATGAACACAGGGAAGGAGCATCCTGGAGACGGTCTGAGGGAGCTATCCCTGACAGCACTCAGGTGCTCTCTGGGCACGTGCACTTGGGGGGTTAACAAAACGCACTGGTCATGAGAAGGAGAAATCATAATGCTTCATAACAAGTGGTGCAAGAGAGAACCTTCCGTCACCCTTTATTTTAGAATTCAGCTTTAATGTTGAAAAGGCAGGAAACAGAAAAGTCCGGGCTTTGAGGAGGATGTTCACACGCCTACCTTGCTTTTAGCAGTTTCTGGCTCAATCTCCCCCTTCCTGTTAGTATAAAAATTCCATTCAAGTAATTAGAGTCAGGCAAGTTCTACCAATCCGGCCCTGGATCACTGAGAAAATATTCCAGCTGGGAATGAATAAGTAAAAAGCGACTTGGACACCCTGATGACTCCATTTCTTTTCATGTAAACGCTGCAGCCTTCTCCCCGGTCAATTTCAGGAGTGTTGCTGAAGAGGTAGGGGGAGAGGAAGGGGAGGCTTTCTCAGCACGGCCTGCTGGCACCCACATGTGTACATGCAGGCCGCGGTGAGAGTGGGCAGAGGTGGTGTCCTTGCTGGGCTCTGTCCTCTTTAAGTGAAGAGCCAGCCCTGGGCTGAGAGGGCCGTGCAGGGGCAGTGAGTGTCTGGAAAGCCCCCAGGAGCACCTCTGGGGAGCCCTGGGAGGCAGGATGGCCACTCGAGGCCTCTTCCACTGCCCAACTCTGCACCATCGCACCTTCTGCTCAGCGCACACCAGCTCAGAGCGTGGCACTCTCAAGGGGCCTGCCCATCGGAGGTGTCACTGGGTGTCCAGTGGAGGGTCTGTGTGGACAGTGAGAGGGGAAGGGGCAGGGACATGCTCCAGCCATTTTCCCCAGGGTCCTTCGGCTTCCTTCTGTCTCTCCTAGGGGGGTGCAAATGCTTAGAGCTCTCAGGGCAGACTCCGAGGTTAGCTAGAATTACATTAAAGGCTGGTCAAGAGAATGCACTTTGGACGAAAAGTGGTCCTAGACTAATGATGCAAGTGGTAAAAACTTGGTAAGAATAATTTATTCTCGAAAGAGATCCAATATATAAGGTTTTTCCTCCAAAAAGAATCTCTCAAAAGGATTCAAAGAGGTGACATCTGGGGGTCATAGTTAAAAGCTGCTGTTGCTGGAGCACGCTGAGCGCCCCCATTGGCATGCCACGAACGGGGTGGCCTGGAGGCGCCACGGTGCTGACCCACAGTCCCCAGCTCGCTTTGCTGTCCCCCTCAGGGTGCAGGGCGCAGAGAACATCATTTCCCACGTCTCCCTCCATTCATGCTTTGGAGGAGAGGAAACAGAGAGCAAAGCTGCTTCCATCCCCCTCTGTCGGCAGCCTGGGCTGGGTGCTATGAAAGCAGTCACCCAGGGGGTTTATAACCCCACAGGATGAGGGCCGGCAGCAGGGCGTGGGAGTCAACCACCAAAGCCATGAATGAGAATGCAGGTGATGCGGCCACCTCATGTGCCCAGCAGAGTGAGGGGGAGAGAAGAGGATGTCATGGGAATCTCATGCTGGCCTGGAGGTGGGATGGAGGAGGTGGGGCTCATCGTGTTCTTCATCTGTGGAGGTTTCAATACGCTTAGCAAGCAGGGCTTGTTAAGATGGTACTGAGGGGCTTTGGAGAGAGTCCTGCCTGCCCTAAAAGGGTGGATGAGGACACAGCACAGAGCGGCGGGGAGGACAGGCCCACTGGCCCAGGGAGGGGCATCACCTGGACGCTGGAGTCCTGGACCAGGCACAGCTGCTCCTGGATCTTGTGCAGCTCCTCCTGCTGCCACCGGATGTTGGCCTGCAGGATCCGCGTCCGCTGCTCCAGCTGGTCTTTGATGGTCTGGAACATGCTGAACTGTGCTGAAAACTTCAAGGTGGAGACAAAAAACATAACCAGATGAAAGAGTTGTTTCAGCCTTGCAGACAGATGTGGCTGCTGTTCTGAGCGGCCCTGCCCGCTATAATTTCCAGTCCCTTATCCACCCTTTTCAGCATCCCGAATGAGTGACCCACTGCTGGGGAGCTCGGCAGTGAGCAGGGGCTGTGGCTGAGGGCTGGGAGTCCCAGGGGCCCCGGGCGAGCTTTTGTCAGGCCCAGGGGAACCTGCAGGTCTAACTTGCTGCACTGTCGTCTGGGAGGGCTGCAGAATCGAGACATGATTTTGTAAGCGGTGCTTACAAACTGATATTCCAAACTCGGTCAGGGGGACAAGTGGTTTTGGAGATGAAAGTCAAAAGCAGGGTATCAGAGAGCTCCCCCTCCTTTTTTCTCTCATCTAGGGCATGACAATTTGCATGTGACCGCTCCGCCGGCATTTTCGGGTCCTGCCATTACCCTAAATCTGATCCTGCCCAGCCGGGCTCTTCTGTAACAACTCAGGAAAGAGCTGGAATTTGCTGGTACATTTCACAGGAGGCTTGGAGGCCCCACCACCCTCCCTCACCTCCCCTGGCTCACTTGCCCCTTGTGCTTCTTGGAAATCTGTGCGAAAAAGAACTGAGGAGAAGAACAATACCATCGCCTAACATTTACCCGGAGGGTAACACCGGCAGAGCGTGACCTTGTAGCGGGAACACTGATGACTGCCTTGCACCAGAGTGCCCAGCCTCCCCTTCCTTCCACCTCTCAGTCCCTTCCTGGGCGGAGGCGGGCTTGAGGAAGATCTTGCAGGTGATCTCTGCCCCCTGTCACCTGTCTACGTTGACACAAGGTCCTCTCCTTGCAGGAACATGTGGAGAGTGGGGGATCATGAGACGGGAGTGGGGCTGGCGCTCCCTGTGCTGGCCGCCTGCCCTGGGCTCTTGAGGGCTCCCAACGACTCCCATTTCTTGAGGAAAGCGAGTTTGCTGGACTGGGGCTTCTGTTCCTTCCTCCCTTCCTCCTTCCCTCCCTCCCTCCCTTCCTCTTCTTTTTTTCCCCAATGACTTAACCTCCATTCCTTCAATCTCTATGCCAACAGTTTCTGTAATCGTTTCTTGCCCATTGCCTTTTGCAAACAGCTCCAGAGACTGTCTCTTTTCCTCTGCCCTTTGACCCCCCATATATGGAAAAGTGAAGAGACCGGGAGAGTTTAGAATACAGATAGAATACACTGGAGGATGGAGGATGGAATAACTGACTGCAGTTTGGGGAGCAGCAAAACAATAATAAAAAGAACCTGTAAGACTAATAATGGTAGGTGCTGCCTATAGAAATCTCAGTCAGAATGTAACTCATCAAAGCACTCAGGTGGGGTTCTGAAAGAGAATTCGATTGAGAAAGAAAAACAAGCATATCAGGTATTAAATTTAAAAGACAAAACATAAAAGCTTCTGTGGCAGGTTCTACAAAGTCAGGAGACGTTCAGGACTACGCCACCCACGTCCAGGAGAGGACGCTCTGGGTCATCCCATTGGCTCCGAGGGGAACAGTGAGGGACCGGGCAGCCCGTGGCGAGGGGCCGGCAGGGCGCTTCGTGAGTGTTAGTTACTTCTAATATTATTCTCCTTTTCTCCAGGCATTCCGGGACGCACAGCGTTAGTCTGTTGTTATATTCCCGACCATGGCCTTTTTGATAAAGAGATCTCCCCTAACTCAGGGACCTAGTGTGTTTAGAAACACACTACGAAGCAAAACCACCGGTTGCGCAGATAACCATTTCCCAGATTTCGGGTTTGATTTTCCCCCTTTCCCCGACAAGATGCTACGTGATAAGATCAGCGAGGAGAAAGAGAGACCATTGTGGGGTCTCACTGTTTCACGGCGGGGGGGGGGGGGCGCAGGTATGAGAACCGTCTGACTTGAAAGGTCAACATTATGCAAGAGTGTCTTAAAGAATACAGTTATAATTAAGTATAGTATGCCTCATAGACTAAGAACTGTTAACTGTTAATTAAAATGAGTTTCAATAAATGAAAAATTAGAATTCCCAAAGGGCCTTAATCACACCATTATGTATTATAAAACTTAGAAATTCTTTACTATGCAAGGTCTAGAAGTTAAAGGAATTCTCATTTCATGTGCCTTTGGATTGAGAAAGTTACGAATTTCATACTAAATGTGCCTTGGAAATTCAAGGAAAAAAATTCTTTTTTTTTGCCTAATGAGGATGAATATAGACTATTTAATTAGTTGATTCTGGATGAGTAGCTTTTATGTCCTTACACAAGCCTAACTCTGTTACGAAGCAGGTGCTTGCGTGTGTCTTCCTTACTCCAGGAGAACATTCCAGACCACTGCTAATGGGACGTATGTTCTGAAAAAGTTTTAATCATCGGAGACAGATTTGCACCAAGACAGAAGTCCACATTTGACAAGAGTGTGGCCAGTGGTACGTGTTGGTGAACCGCTGCCTGGGACGCCCCTGTGGCCAGAGAGGGGGGCAAAGCAAACATCCTATAAAGGAACTGAAGACAGAGCTCTGGCCTCAGCGGAGTGCCTGCCAGTCGGCTCAGCTGCCCTGCGTGACCACAGACTGAGTGGCCGCTATTTCCTTCAGCCTCTCGCCAGCCTCAAGCATATCAGACATTTCCAAAACTCCCTGTGAAGTGCATATATGGGTCCCTCTCCCCTGCTGACCCTCCACCTCTCCATCTGGCAACCTCCTATTCATCCTTTCAGGTCCAGCTCAGGTGTCACCTCCTCCGGGAAGCCACGTCGGACTTCCCTAGGCAGAATGTTTTCTTCTGGTTCTATAAAAACACACGGCCTGACATGGTGGTTTCTCTGTTTACATGCCCGTCTCTCCCTTGAGCTCTGAGTACTAAAAGCAAGGGCTGCAACCCTCACACTCGCTCATGGACTGACACAAACAGTAACTCACTGTTGCTGAAACAAGGAAGGAACTAATCAGCAAAGCCCTGACCCTTTTTTTTTTTTTTTAAAAACAAATGTGATATTTATAGTACTGGACTCACAGCTTCTAGATCCTCGCAGTCTTCCTATGACATTTGGCTTAATCCAGACCTGTTCTAAAATATCGTGGTCAACTCAGAGTCATAAAAAATGAGAGCAACACGGCAAAGTGGCAGAGAGGTGAACAAAGATCATTACAAGGATTGAGGAACAGACACTGGAGAAAAGAACTGGGAGAATGTACCGGGAGAAGACACGAATGGCAGGAGAGGGCAGGTGTAGGGATGAGATCATAGCTCGACGTGCCGCACCTGCACGCTGGGAGCAACATTTCCCATTTTGGGGCCTGGTTTGGTACCTAAATGCACGATACACATCGGCTCCGACGCACCCACACACTCAAGAGGACACCACGCGATTTGTCTTGGGGAAGTGCCCCTGCCAGGCTTCCCTCGCCCTGAGTCTCAGACTCACCTGTGCCATGGGGGCAGGTGGGCTCTGCAAAATGGTCTGAGGCAGTAGCTGCTGTGCAAGGTCACAGGACAACGGGGCAGGCAGGGGAGTCTGGGGAAGAGAGATGGGCTTTGTTAATGCACAGCTTCTGGGCTGTTACAGAGGGACAGGGGCGCTTCTCTCAGTTGGCTGGGTTCTCTGGCTTAAAGGAGGCCTTTCTGCACCAGAGTGAAGAGCTGACTTCTAGAAGGTGTATGTTCCCCCGGAAAAGGTAGGGTAGCAGGCTGCGCTGCCGCCCTTGCAAGGCACCGAGTCAGAGCCCACACACAGCTGGTGCCGGGCGCAGGGTGCCCTTGAGCAAGGTCCTGGAGTCACTCAGGGTCTGTGAGGCCTCCCTGCCACGGTGTGCTCTGCAAAGCTGCTGTTCCCTGCTGCAGCCTGGCAGCTCCGCTCCACTCTCTTCCCTTGCTACCTGTTCTAGACTCCGTCCTTGGTGGATCTGGTTGCTCTTCTCCCAAGTTGATAAATCCTCAGCAGTGTCATTGAGCAGTACGAGTGGGGTTGTACCAATGACCAGTGTTGGCTCTGCACGTGGTCCTTACCCTTTCTGCTGAACACCAAGGCAGAGGGACAGACATGCCATGCAGTCTATATCCATTAACTCATCCAGGCAGTGAATACTGGTGCAATTTCACCAGACTCTGCCTGGAATCTGTCAGATCCCTGGGAAGTCAGCTGAGTCATAGACCTCGATCCCTGGTGGGCAGGGGACCAGGGGGAGACAAGGTATAGAAACAAGAAATGAAACCCTCAGTGTCACTGGCCATTTAGAGTTTTTAAAAGAAAAGTAAACGGGTTCTTCTGAAGTTATTCCAAACTTCTCCCAGTCCCTAGGGACTACAAAAAGCAGCCAAAATGGGAAGTGTGACCCAGGACAACATGGGGAGGAAATGACAACAGGAGACCTTGTTTTCGTGAGAAATCCTGGGCACAGGGCTGAACCAGAGACTGGTTTTGGTCCTCCCGATTGTGCTCCCGTGCACAGCTGGGAGGAAACAGAACCGCTGCCCTCGGGGCAGAAAGAGTCATACTGACAGCCAAGTATTGGGAGAACGGCAGTCTTAGCTTACAAGCATGTCTAAAGGTGGCTGGAGAGCAAGAAAGCGGTCTTTGTCATGTTCTATTTGAAAATAAAATTTCACCAAGTTTTTCAAGCAGGGTGTGCCTAACTTTCATGGTGACAGCAAGCAGGAAGGTGGCACATTCACTCCCATCTCCAAAATGTCAGCAAGGGATGGGTATGAGGCCTTTGGCAACCATCTGGATGTAGTCCCTTTAATTCTTGGACACTCCTCCCATCTAGAGGTGGAGGTCTATGTCCCTCTCTGTGGGTGAGCTTGTGACCGCTTTCACCGAGAGGTATGGCAGAGGTGACGTTGTGGGACTCCCAAGGCTAGGTCAGAGAAAGCCATGAAGCTTCTGCCTGGCTCTCGCAGAAAGCTCCCTCTCCAGACGTTCCATTTCGGAAGTCAGTCGCCCTGCCAGGAGAAGCCTGAGGCATGGAGAGGCCCATGCAAGTCACTGGTGGAGGGTCTCAGCGGGGCCGAGCCTCCAGCCGGCCCAGCCTGGGTGCTGGACATGTGAGTGCAGACACCCCTGGCACGTGGATGTCCCAGCCCCGGCTGGCGAAGCCCCCGACACCAGCCAGCAGAGAGCAGCTGTCTCCACTGTGCCCCTTCTGACTTCCTGACCCGGAGTCTGTGAACATGAAAAACGGTGGTTGCTTTATGTGCTAAGTTTGGTGTGGTGTGTTACATGGCAACAGATAACGGAGTGCTTTACATCAGTGATTCTGCATACAGCCAGGGTGCTTCCTAAGAGGCCACTCATCCCTGACCTTCTGGAGAGGTCTGGCACATATCAGGGAGACCAAGCTTCTCAAACATTTTCACTGGAGTGAAACAGGATCCCAAAGGGAAGGACCTTGGTCATGTACCCCCAGGGGATCTGGGGGTCTGATCCCAGGTTTGAAGTTTTGAGCTTTATCTTTAAAACTCCTTTGGATTTTGTATTCTATGGATATACATCCATGTTAATTTTGGAATAAAAAAGTTTCAAATTAGTTGCCAATTAAATTACCTAGCTTCTCACCCCGCCTGCCACCCCACACTCTTAATCTCTAAGTAAAACTGGTTCTCTGGGGGTGCAGCACCGTGTCCTGTGGCCTTGCAGGCCCCAGCCACACTAGCATACCCGGTGGAGGAGTTTGGGGTCACACACATACCGGGATCGTGGCGGCCTGGCTGAGCCCCGGCACGGGGAGCTCTTGGGGCAGGGCGGCAGATCTCGGCAGAGCCGTGGAGCTGGCCTCTGCCATCAGCTTGCTGGGAGTGGCTGTAAGAAAGCGACAAGTCACCTTCCTGACTCACGTACACTAACGGCTTTCCAATCAAAAGAGGGGAACGATGAGCACGGTGTGCAGGAAACAAGGGCTTGGTTGGCATCTCTGATAAAGGAAGTCAAGCACGAATGGAAGTGGTTTCCAGAGCCACAAAAGTTCTGCCAGCTTCCAACCTCGCCTGGGAGCAGGCAGATGGCAGCAAACCGTCCCCAAGCTCCATGTCCCCACTTGGGTCAACCACCCGCCTGATCACACACCGTACCAGAGTTACCAAAACCTGGCCATGTTATCTGGTCTGCCTATCACCTGTCTGTGTCTGCTTCGTGTGGCGGTAGAGGGACCTCCAGGGAGAGGTGGAAGGCAGGAAGCCAGTGGGAAAGGAAGCAGAGCGGGAACAAGATGGCGGCTTCTGCTTCATAGGTATGGATGGCTCTGATTCTACTCAGACCTGGGGCCCTCCGGGGACGCTATAGCCCCCACCACCCAGTCCGATGGGGCGCCCACCCGTCTCCCCATCCCTGGAATCACACTCACAGGTGGGTTCTGACATGGCCGTGTGCGAGGATTTGTGGGAACTTCTTGAGGATGCTGATGGCGAGTGACTGGTGTTAAGGCCTGAGGTGCCCACGTCAAGTGCGTTAAAGTGCTGCTGGGGCTCCAGGCTCGAGCCCTTGTCCTGAAACACACACAAGGTCCACATTTCAGCATCGAGATTATGGGAATGAATTACGTGACTTTAGTTCTCCTCTAAATATGTGGAAAAAGCTGGAGGGGATTGAGAGAAATACTGTAACTGTTTGGAGATAATTCCAAACACATTCTGGTTCAGTATTTATACATATACGTAATCTAGACATCTTTGAGGCTTGTAGCCTATAAGCAGTATTACGCTTTCTCACCTTGTGTTTTGATTTTTTGGATTTTTATAACTGACTTTGCATTTTATTTTTTCCTTAAAATTGTCACCTCACTGCCCAGAATCTTGATTTGCCTACAAGGGGGGGAAGAGGCAGGTTCTAGAAATAAGGTTGCTGGTGGTAGTGGATCGTTAACAGGCCAATGAAACAAATGCCTTTGGACTCTTCCGGGCACTTCCCAGACTGTCTCCCCACCGCTCCTCCCCCTGCAGCCTCAGGGCCCGGGGTGAGAACAGGCAAAGGGCCAATGGTCTCCTATCCTTTGACCCCTGGATCCTAACCGATCCTGGCTCCCAGGGTCCCTCTGCCTCAAGTACAGGGTGATGAGAAGGCAACTGTGACTTTCCAACCCTGAGGAGCCATCTTCCATCCTGCCCGGCTTAGGTGTCATAAGCGAAGGAAAACAGAGGTTATGATCATTTTTAAGCTAAAGAAGAAACATAACACTTACTGTCCTGAGCCATGCTCCCACCTAGCCTTAGAAGGATGGTGACATTCCTGGCAGCCACTGGGCTGCTTGGACAGGCTGTTCTATGGCCCATGGTCTCAGGTCTTAAATCCCTGGGTGTGAGTCTACGTGGCTCTTCTGTCTTTTGAGTCAAGCTCCAGTGAGGGTGGACACCATGCGTGTGCCCACGTAGGGCTGAAATGATTGACATGTGACGCACGTCACACGGGGTCCCTTAGAGTGGGGTCCCCGGCCCACAGCCGTTGGCGAGTCGTGTGCCCTTGGTCAGCAGAGATAAACTCGGGAAGTGAGACTAAGCACTGGGACACTGTACAGCCATCTGACATAGCCGCACGTCACATCCAAGTGTGGGGATGTGCATTTTATAGAAGCATCGGTCAGCGACAGATTGGAAATTTAAAAACCAAATGGTCTATCACCAACGATAGTTTGAAAAGCATTGTCCTGGAGCTCTTAATTTCAAAGGGGCTTCTTAACCTGGCAGCTTGAGATTGTATTTGTGTGTTTATTCGTCTGTGCATGTTTATGAGAAGTTCCACTGGACCCCAGGATTCCCAATCAATAACGAGTAACCGACTGGATGATACACAGGGTGTGTTTTTCAGCCGTGATGTATGGCGTGTCTAACACTTGCCTATTAACAGCTTAATTTCTCTGTTCTCGGACATGATACATGACACATTACGTGACAGAGCTGGGTAATAAACACTTCCATAAACAATGACAGGTTCATCGTATCAGTATACTGGTGATGAATCACCATGTGACCCGTCACCACGTAGCACACCAGCAGGGGAGGCTCGGCAAAGACACTGCCTGCTCTCATCTTTAAAGGTGATTTCTTCCTCCTTCCAACTCAGTCCTCGATGGACCAGAGATGCTTTTGCTGGACCATTGCTGCTGTGTCAGCCTCTGGCCAAAGACTCTGGATTCTAGGTCACTGGGCAGCCTAGAACTTGAACCATATTTCATCAATTCTAAGAGGCACTTTCCTGCCCTCATTTTGACATATCTGATATTGGGATGTGTCCTTCAACTGATGAAAAGAAATCCTTATTTCACAGATTGATTGGCAGCATTTTCTCTTTCTTAGCGGGAGATAAAATAATGGTGGGTCTTAGTTGGTGGCTTCTTAGCTTTGATGAAATACAACACTCCCTCCCTTTCTTGCTTTCTCTCCCAACATTCGTGTCTGCTTGAAGAATGACCTTTGAGGAACAGGGCTCTGGTCTACTTGCACGTTTCCCTCATGTTGTCTGACACACCAGGAGCAGAGACGGGGAAGCCTGGCCAGAGGGGACCCGAGAGCTAAGGCTGGAGAGGGGAAGGAGGTGTGGGCTTTGTGAAGGGGAAGACCTCTCAACAGTGGCGCTCCCTGACACGAAGCTGGCTCCAACATGGCTGTTAACTAAGCCCCCAGACACAGAAATAGAAAGTGCACTTTGGAGGGTGTGCGACATGGAGGGTGTGCGAGGGGCAGTCTACTCGGGATGCCTGAGTCCTGGAAGCAGTGCAACAGCACTTAGGCTAAGGGAAGACAGGGGCCCTGGAATTATTCCACTCCTCAACGGGACGATGGAATAACCCCCGAGCCTTTTATCTGTGGGAGAGAGACAAAGTGGACTTATTGGAGCCATTCCTGTGAGGTTGGAAAGTCGCCACGCATGCTTTGGGTCCAAAAGTGGTTTCTAAGCCAGCTCTGCAAGTTCTCATCCTCGGGGCCCTTGGGTATGTTCGCTACATTCTCTGTGTGCTCTGGGCCTCATCTGAAGGATGAGGAGCTAACAGCGCCCACCTCTCAGGACCGTCCCAAGGGGTAAAGTCTCGAATACCTGAGAACCACATTGAATAGTCCTGGGAATATAGCAGGAGCTCGATAAATATGATCTGCTGTTTTTATTTAAACAACTCGTGGAAGGTTCTATGTAGCCACACTTTGCCTCTATCCATCTGGCGGGGATCAGCATACCTTTAGTGCCACGGGGTGGATGGCCTCGGATGGCGGGTCTTCCAAAGCCAGCTCCTGCCTCCTTTCTACCCGGACGTCTGCGTAACTGATCAGGAAATCAAGAGACCACAGCTGGAGGCGGGACATTCCAGATGACAGCAGCAAAGAGGGCTCCATGACACATTGAGGTTCCCTACGCAATACCCCACCCAGAATAGTCACCACAACGTCCTGGTACTTGTTTGAGGAAGGAGTTTCATTCCGTGCCTAAATTCTACTGGAGTGACTTCTAATGTGACATTCAGAATATTTTCCTTTCCAGGATGTTTTTATTCCCTGCTCCTTCACTTATCCTTTTTCCCCCCGAAACCTCCACACGTAATTGTCTTTAGAAACATATTTTCATCTATAGGATAAGCCTCAGCCTTCAAATAATTAGAAGCCTTTCTTAAAACCTACTCAGTCTAGACTGTGCGTAAGGAGAAGTGACACATAACTTTTTTAGGAATGACAACCTTCAGAAAGCTTTCTCTCAAACAAACGTAGATCTGGACCCAGACCGCTGATCAGCCTATGGACCCACTTTTAAACAGCATAGGTCATCAATTCAGTGTGGTGGTGGCCGAAGTGACCCAGCTCTGGCTTTTGCCTCATGTATGGAGATGCTGAGTGAGGGGCCTTGGGAAGTCCGGTGGCTCTTGGGCCTCCCGAATGCTTGTTACCTATTTACTCACCAGTGCACTCCCTACTTCCTCTGAGAGTTTCTTTCTAGGATCTGGGAGGTGGAGGAGGGAGAGGAAGAGCAGGGTCAAGCTGAGTCTGAAGAACAAGGTATTGACGATGTCCAGCCTTCCCTGGGGACACAGGGACCCTCTGGCAGAGGCCCAGGCTGAGTGACAGTAGTAGGTGGGACTGGCCATGGAATCAGAAACCACTGGCTGCTGACGTGCCCAAGGGTGGGCTGGGAAGCCAAGATCAAGTCCCTGAGGGTGGGCGTGCACTGTGATGATGAGGGTCACTGGCCGAGAAAGACCAGCACTTCTCCTCTCTCCCCACTTACTAAAGAGTGACCGACTTGTTGACTATATATATGCAGGTGTGTGTGCACGTATGTGTGTCCGGTCTCTATCCGTGTATCTGTCTACCCGCCTACCTACCTATCTATTATCTATCTATCACCGATCTCTCATGTATATACATAAAATGCAATATGTACGTATAGTATCTACATGTATGTATATGTTCGTATATATGTATGTATGTATCTATCCATCATCTATCTATCTATCCATCTATCATCTACCTGTTACGTATACAGTCGTGCGTCACTTAACGACGGGGACACATTCTAAGAAATGCATTGTTAGGTGATTTTGTCATGGTACGAACATCCCAGACGGTACTTACATAAACCTAGATGGTGTAGTCTACTACACACCTAGGCTGTACGGTACTAATCGTATGGGACCACCGTCGTATATGCGGTTTGTCATTGACCAAAATGTCGTTATGTGGCGCATGACTGTATATATAAAATGCAGTCCTTCTAACCCTTCTTTCTTTGCTCTCCTCAAATGCTCTTCTCTAGACCAGTTTAAAACTGATTTATGTTCTTAAAATTTCTGTAGTCAGGGGAAAGAAACGAATGACATTTCTGCTTTACCTTTGGGAACTGTGGCCCTACAAAGGCTGCGTCTATGAAATGCTGGATATGCTGCCTCCCTTGGAAGCCCTGCTCACCACACTGGGCTGAGGGCTCCTCGAGGCCACCAGGACCTGCCAGGAGCCCTCTCCCACTGGCAGCCTCGCTCTTTTCCCAAAACTGCCTCAGTCGCCAGCAGGGGTTTTTAAAGCATTAAAAATAAATGGGACTATGTCTTTGAGTTATTTAGAGGAAAATTTTAATTTTCCTCTCAAAACAGCAACAAGGGACGGCTGGGGATGGATAGAGATGAGGGGAAAATATGTAAGTAGGTCAGTGAAGCAGTAAATTGCTAAGTAATATCCTGGCAGCCTGAGAGAGCTCATCAGGCATTCCGAGGGGCCTGACTGAACACTGGAAGGAAGTGAGCCTGGGAGAACGGAGCTGGGTGTGTACGTGGGGAGGAGGCGAGCTCTGCTGATTATTCTGTTAACTGCAGAGGACGGCCTGGGCCCCGCTGAAGAATTCCAGCCCGGGGCTTGCTCCTCACAGACAGGGGTGACCTGAGGTGGCCGGGCCCTGACGGAGCCGTCGGGGCCTCGGCCGCCCTCCCGCCCCGAGCCGCACCTGACGACCGAGTGCGTGCACACGATGAACTCGGGCTTGGAGTTCCACTGGTGGTAGGTGATGTAGTAGTGAGTCTGCAGCCAAATCCACTGCTGGCCTTTGGTCAGAAACCGGTAGCAACACGACTTCCCTTTGCCAAACTGCATCACTGTTGGTAGAAAATGGAGTCTGCACGTAACGAATGTTAACATGAAATGACCTCTTCCCCAGAAGTTATTGTTAAAAATACAAGCTTTCAAAAAGACAACGCCAAACATTGTTCATTTCCTCAGTGGCTCTGTATTTTAAGTGACTACCAGGATAATGGTAAACGATAATGAATTCTTAAACAACGGAAGAACCGTCCACACGCTTTCCCAAATGCTCAAAAGCTTAAGAGATCCTCAAATCAGGGCAGATGCAGACAGGTTCTCAAACTGGAGGTCTGATTAAAAAGAGGCCCAGGGGCCGGCCCCGTGGCTTAGCGGTTAAGTGCGCGCGCTCCACTACTGGCGGCCCGGGTTCGGATCCCAGGCGCGCACCGACGCACTGCTTCTCCAGCCATGCTGAGGCCGCGTCCCACATACAGCAACTAGAAGGATGTGCAACTATCTACTGGGGGACTTTGGGGAAAAAAAAAGGAGGAGGATTGGCAATGGATGTTAGCTCAGAGCCGGTCTTCCTCAGCAAAACAAAGAGGATTAGCATGGATGTTAGCTCAGGGCTGATCTTCCTCACGAAAAAAAAAAAAAAAAAAGAGGCCCGGGTTTTCCTGGTGCGCGTCTGCCTGTCACAGGTGGAGCTGTCTATGGAGCCACAGGAGCCAAGCTTGAGGGAGACACTCCAGACACCCGGAGAATTCCACCGAAATAGACCCGACAGCCACAACCTCTGGACGCTCTGCGGCTGTCAGCCAGCAGTTCATCCTAGTCTGCATGCTTCTAAAAGAGAGTCGGCTACAGATGCCTTCCACCCCAGGCCCCATGGCCGCAGGGCTCCCACAGTTATGTCTGTGGTGGGCTGCTCTGGTGGTGTCCAGAACAGACTGGATGCTGTTGGTTTATCATCCTGGGGGAGGCAGAAAGCTGGACTGTCGGTCCAAGGAAGGAGAACAATTTGGGTTTTATTGCCTCAGGGCCTGGAATTTAGCACCTCTTTACGCAAATGGTTAAGTGAAATCATAACTAGGAAACTAAAGCTACAAAAAGAGCTACTAACTTGGAGAATGTGACATCTGAAGAGGAGAGAAGACCAGCTGAGTAAGGGCATGGGCTGGACAGAGCAAGAGTGTCTTGTCGGACCCTCTGGGCAGGTCCTTCAGATGTGAAGGTAAGTCTACAATCAGGGTGGCCGTTCTATGTGAGAAGAGTCAGAAGCAGCCATAGGCTCAAAGTAGCCATGCTTCTCAGATTTTCCTGTGCCCATGAATCACTTGGGGATCTTGTTACAATGGATGTTCTGACTCCGTAGGCCTGGTGGGGGGAGCCCGAGGTCTAGCAAACTCCTCGTGATGTCCATGCTGCCACTCAAGAACCACAGTTTGAGAAGCAAGGGGCTAAAGTTTTAAAGATTAGCCTTAAATTCTAACAGCAGATCCTGATGGAACTCAAGCCCGTTCTTCCGTCAACAAGAAAGGCAGAGAAGCGCAAGTTGTAATGGGTACTACAGACAGGGTATCCATCAAGAGCCAGTGCTGGTGGTCAATCACGCAGCAGGATCCATGGGTCGATGTTACTACCGATGTTCTTGTTCCAAGCTAGAACTTGGCACTGAAAGTATGGCTTTAAATGGTTAATTCTTGCCTCTCGCTAAGTGAGAACCCAGGTATGCTTGCAATTCTCCCTCCCCCACACCATGAGTCCTGCCTCCCAGACCTTTGCTGGCTTGTTCCCCTCTTTGGTGGCAGACAGCCTTCCCTGACCAGCACCCCCCACCGCCCCCAGCTGGGTGAGGGACCCTCCTCTGAGCCCCCCAGTATCCTGTGTGCGTCCCCTTCCACGCACCGACAACATCCTATAAAGTCACTTATGTCTGCTTTTCCATCAGACCTTGCTCCTGCAAGGCAGCAAGGCAATTCTGATCCTCTTTACGTCCCGGGCCTAGCTCAGCATCTGGCCTGTAGTTTGTGACTACTACGTGTCTGCTGACTAACGACCAGTTATGTGAATTCAGTATTTTGTCTTTGAGATGTATTGTCTAACCTAAAAAAAAATGACCAGCATTTTAGCTAAAGCGAAATGACTTAGCTTTCTCAAGTAAGATTAAATAGCTTGCATATCTGAGGGATACCAGGACGGTGCTGGGCGGGCGTGGGGTAGGCAGGGCAAAGGCAATTCCAGGCGAAAACGCAACACGAGGGTGAACCAGATAGGGACCTCCACCACAAATCCTAGGCCATTCAGAGAAAACCAAGTCCTCTGCCTCAGAAAGAAACCAAGTCATAAGCACACTTCCAGGGCCAAGCGTCCTGCTGTCAGGGCTCCGTGGAGACAGCTGGAGGCCCTGCGGTGCGGGGCTGGGTGTGCGGTACTCACAGTGCTGGTGGCACCTGGCCAGGAGCTCCAGATCATCGATGTGGTAGTAGTCATAGCCCGAGGTTCCCAGAACTTCAAAAGGCAGGTATCCTATGATGGGTGGGGCTCTGCCAAGGACAACGGGACCATTCATCAGGGACGAAGGACACGGCAGGACTCACCGTGGTGGCCACGCCTCAAGGCGGAGGGTACAGTTTACACGTCTAATGATCAACACGGAGGCCTCATTTCTCAAGAACAAGGCAGGAAAATAACTTTGCAGTGGTCAAAACTGGAGAGGCCGTGTTTTCCAAAGTGCTCAAATTTTTTGACATTTATATATTCTGTTCCCCTGGCATAACCTGGCCCAAATAATAATAAACTTTATCACTACTGAATAATTAAAAAGGCCTCGAGACTGGGTCAGCCCAAACCCAAAGTGTAATAAAAAATTAAAGGGTGAGGAGAGGAGATTTCGAGTTCTCAAACTGTGAAAAATGTTAAAAAAGCAAAAAAGGAAGGGCTGGCCCTGTGGCATAGCGGTTAAGGGCGCGTGCTCCGCTGCAGCGGCCTGGGTTTGGATCCTGGGCACGCACGACACACCGCTTGTCAGGCCATGCTGTGGCGGCGTCCCATATAAAGTGGAGGAAGATGGGCACCTATATTAGCCCAGGGCCAATCTTCCTCAGCAAAAAGAGGAGGATTGGCATGGATGTTAGCTCAGGGCTGATCTTCCTCACACACACAAAAAATAAATTAAAAAAAGAAGATTGTGCTAAAGGGACAAAAGGGTGTTGAAAGATTAAGATGAGAAGTTTCTCTGACATCAGCTCCTGCCTTACAGGGAGCTGGAAGAAGGTCCCAAGTGGGTGGAGGGGTATTCCAAAGATGTCCCCGGCTGCGGCGTCTGGCTCTCCTGAGATGGTCCGACCCAAGCCCAGAACATACCCACAGGAGGGGCGAATGCAGGCGAAGGGAAACCTCACCCTTGGCTGGGAACCACTTTTCCTCCTGCCAGAAAGTCCTTCTCCTCGAAGGGACCAGGCTCAACTTTTCTCTCCCAAGGAGAGCAGGCCTCATGCACACAAACACTTGAAAAGGACCCAACCCAAATATGTTTTTCTTTTCACAAACCTGTGATCCAGAAATAAAAATTTCCATTCCAAGCTATGCCTTGAAGTGAATTCCTCCAAAGGTTCGTCAACTATGCACATTTCCTGTATCAGAAGGGAAAAAAGTTACTCGGGGTGCCAGATGCTCACCCTAGCTATGTTCAAGAATGAATGCATGGTGGGTAACAGAAGTTAAAATCGTTCAGAGCAAGTCTCCAAGTTGTGTGGGCCTGAAACTCATCATCTGTAGCTAATTTCGGTATTAGCTGATACTAAATTTATTTCACAAGCTGGGGAAAAATACCTAGGAGCCAAAATGTCACACCACTCCCTTCCCATTATCTAGAAGTGTGGTAAACATGTGGAGAATGGCTTTTCCTCTGAATCTGAGTTACTAATTTAACTCAACATTCATGCCATAGATGTTAAAGCAATCACAGACGGAAGAACACAGACAAACTCTCAGTTTTGACACTCAGTTCTCACCTATGTGAGCCCTGAGTGCTATTCATGTCGCCGTGAATGGCAGGAAGGTTTACAGAGGTACAAAAGAGCATGTCTGCAGGCTGAATGGCAGTTGATGCTGCCTGCAAACAAAATAGCTCGTAGGAGCCGGACTCGGGGGAAAGAGCCCGTGGGCTGTCACAGGTACAGAAACCAGACGTTTTAAATCCTCAAAGTCAGTGACAACTTCATTGTAATTTTATTCTTTCCAGTGAAGACAATTGACTATAAATGTGACTCAATCGTCAAGGTTCTGCATGGTAAGTTCTCTCCCAGGTACTTGCCTTTAAGAACTGTGGTGTCGCCAGACGAACGGTGGCGATGAAGCAGACCTCCTTTCCTAGCGGCACCCCGAGAGGCCTTGAAAGGGCGCTGTCGAAGCCGTTACATGAGGGGCTGGGCGCTGGGGCAGGAGGGAGGAGACACAGGTTAGCCCCGTCTGGTGCAGCAGCCAAAGCCTCCGTGGCAGTGCTGTAAGCCAGTGGCGGGCTCAGGGCTTCATGTATATTAACTTATTTCATTCTTTTTTTTTTTTTAATTTTATTTATTTGTTTTTTCCCCCAAAGCCCCAGTAGATAGTTGTATGTCATAGCTGCACATCCTTCTAGTTGCTGCATGTGGGACGCGGCCTCAGCATGGCCGGAGAAGCGGTGCGCCGGTGCACGCCCGGGATCCGAACCCGGGCCGCCAGCAGCGGAGCGCGCGCACTTAACCGCCAAGCCACGGGGCCGGCCCACTTATTTCATTCTTACAACCTGGTGAGGTTGGTACTACTATGACCCCGTTGCACAGATGAGGAAACTGAGGCACAGACTGGTGAAGTTAACTTGCACAAGGCCAAATAGAGCTGGGATTTGAGGCTCTATTTATACTGGTTATAGGCTCATAACCAATATACTCCTCTGCCTCTCACTTCCACTAGTCTTCCCCTGAGATTACTCTGCTGGGAACTCCTTCTGCAGTAAGGGCCTGAACAGTCCCTTCGGCCAGTGTCTCAAGGGTGAGTTCTGTGGTCAGATGGTGCTCTGATATGGCTGGGCCCAGGGAAAGCAGTGGTGTCTCGGCACGTGTTGATCCCCCTCCCATCCCTGGCCCTGGAGTGGCTTGCATGGGCTTCAAGGGCTTCTGCCCTGAAACTTGCCCTCAGGAGCCGGGCTGACAAGGGGCTTGGTTGGGACCACCGAGGAGATGGCCCCAGGATTCTGGGTGATCCCCAGAGGGACACAGTGTCCACAGCAAAACATGCTAGTTCTGTAGCGTGCACAGGTGACAAAACCTGTTCATCTGTGTTTTATTTATTCTCACAAGTCTGGCGGGCACGACTTTCCTCATTCAGATGAGGAAAACGGAGACCTGGAAAGGTTGTATAGATTAACCGAGGTCACTCAGAGTAGAGATAATGGAGCAGGGACTCTTCCCAGTTCTTCTGACTCCACGTCCAGAGTCCCAAGGGGGCAGAGAAGGGACTGTTCCAGGCTCATGCCCAGCACGGTGCTGAGACCAGGCCCCCAGATGCCTCTGCGGGGCTCCCACTGCATTGGCAGCAGCCTTCCTGGGAGTCTTGGAACTGCCTCGGGGTGACTGCGGGGAACGGCTTTGCCTTTTGGGCCAGAGAACAATTCTGCTCTTTTAGGTGGAATTTGCTGGATGGGAAAAAGAACTCTGTTAAATATGAGAAAAGTCAACTTACCATGTACACGGAATTCTCACACCTGGCTCCACACCAGACTTCTCGGGACCTTTCACATGGCCGCCTAGGCCCCACCCCATCCCAGATCAGCTGACTCCCAAACTCTGGAGGGGAAGCCCAGGCACTGGCACTTTTAAAAACTCCCCAGATTTTCTATCATGCAGCCAGGGTTGAGGGTCGCTATTCTAGATAATCTATACCTCCTCTTTCTTTTTAAAATGTAATTGATTATAACCTGTACATTTCTGAACTTGTAAATTAAAACACGGTTATGTATTCCAATTTGAGAACATATAAAGCATCAGAAAACTAAATGCATTCGAAAATCAAATCTGCAAGACTTTCTTTGGATTTTAGCTTTCCAATAATTTTTTGTTTCATACGTTTATAGGTGTCTAAGTGATTCTGTAATGTGGTCTTCTATCCACTAACATGAATAAATTCATTTTAAAACATATTCTCTGACTGCACTCACATAAATACTAATAAATGTTTCCAAACGTGAATATAAAGTGGGTAAAATAAAAAATAGTGGTCCTAGAGAGTTTACAGCCAGCCCTGGTGGTCTAGTGGTGAAGATTCAGCGCTCTCACCACAGTGGCCCGGGTTCGTTTCTGGTCAGGGAACCACACCACCCTCTGTCGGTTGTCATACTGTGGCGGCTGTATGTCACTGTGATGCTGAAATCTATGCCACCGGTATTTCAAATACAAGCAGGGTCATCCATGGTGGACAGGTTTCAGCTTCCAGACTCAGACAGACTAGGAAGAAGGATCTGACCACCCACTTCCAAAAAAACTGGCCGTGAAAACCCTGTGAATAGCAGTGGAGTATTGTCTGACACAGTGTGGAAAGGGAAGAGGATGGTGCAAAAAGACCAGGCAGGGTTCCGCTCTGCTGTACACGGGGTCCAGGGAGTCAGAATCGACTCCAGGGTACCAACAACAATCAAGAGAGTTTTCATCTGTCATTAGTTGGCTTAGATCATTGCAGATTAATTTTAGGGTGAGCCAAGGAACTTATCATGGGAAACGAAAACAATTCCACACAGGGGAAGTGTCTGCAGATGCGAACGTCTGCATAATTTAAGAAAAGACATTTAAAAATTTCCCAGATGTGAAATATCCTCTCTGCTTGAATCTAAGAGACATCACCCACCAGATAACAACCTAATAAACTTCTCCTCCTCTTCCAGAATATCAAGACCTTCCAAGCAAACTTCCGAGGACTTGCCAGGGATTAAGAGAAAGTGCCTTTGATCTGTTGCGAAACGTGCGCCTTGTTTGAATGATCCTTTAGACTGCTAAGTTCATTTGCTCCATCAGAAGGTGCCTTCCTCGGTGACTTTCTGTGAGGAGGACGGGCAGAGAGCAGGAGCATGGAACGCGCAAACACCAGCCCTGACAACTTCAAGGGGCAGAGCCTCAGACCACGGAATGTCAGTGGATGTTTTGCAGAGGTTACTGTTGACTGGCTGCCTCCCAACGTGGATTCATCAGTCCTTTTATCACTTCTAGGGCTTTAAAGATGAAATGCACCCCCACAAGAGAAATTTCATTATTGCATACAGCCTGCACTTGATAAGCCAGACATTTTACAGAGGGGCCCAGAACCGAGCTAAAAACAAGCTTTCCCTCCAAAAACCTTAAGCAGCAGAGGGCTTGATCAAAGGTGATAGTCAATCAAGAGTGAAAGTCTCAACAGAGGCCAAGGGGAAAACCTCGGGGAAAACCAAGAGGAAGAAGATACTTGAAACGTTTTTCCATTTGCATTTGAAATGACTTTTACTCGCAGCCTGAGCCTTCTTGCATAGTCTAGAGAATGAACACATGAGCAAACTGCTCCCTGGGACTCCATAGTAATATTTAGCACTTGGAATAACTTCTCCGGCACGTCTTATCCCAAGGTAGTTTAAGAACATTAATTAAGGATTTAATTAGTTGTTTCATTTTAAGTAATAGAAAAAATATATCTAATTACAACTGGCTCGCTGAGCCTCTCAGGAGGATTAACCACTAAGTGCAGGCACAGCCCTGTTTTATCCGATGTCTGACCACTTTCAGAATGGCCCTTTCCTCTGCCACTCCAAAACCTGCACACGCGGTACTCACGATATAGATACAAGTGATTATTGCTTGCTCCATTTTTTCCCCTACAGTCATCTTACTCGAAATTGATCTGACTCTTGCCCAAAGCTAAAGAGATAGATAGCCTTCCCCACAGGGCCTGGGTCTAGTTCTCTCTGCCTCCAGCTCTGGGCAGGCGTCTTGCACACAGCAGGTGTTCAACATGCGTTCACTGAATGACTCTCTCACGAGATGACCTTCCATCCCACATCCAAACCACAGCTTAAGCCCCAGTTTGGGAAGAGACCACCTGATCCTTGCCAGCAACTAGCGCACAAATGTTGAGACATCAAGCCGGCTTCCCCTCTGTAGCCCAGCTGGGTGCTGCTGGTGGTTGGCTCGCTGGGGAGGGTGCCCACGGACACTTCCACTGGCACTCGGGCCAGCTCACTGCCCTACTGATGCATTAACACTGTCAGAAGGATGCCTGCAAATCAGCACGCAGAAATCACCTCTCCGTGGAAAACAGCGGAAGCGCCCATCGCGGGCCTCATGTTTGGAGAGGCAGGATGGTGCTCAATTTTTGATCTTTCTATTAAAAGGATCCATGGGGTCATCAAGTCCCCTTTTTGCTGCTGAACCTTTCATCACAGTCTCTAATTTCAGAGACCCTGAATGCTACCCTGGGCTAGTGTTCTTGGGATTCCAAAACCAAGAGAGCCCCAAGTCCTCCAGAGAAGAAGAATGACTAATGTCTATCTCACTTGGCACCCATGGTTGGCTTCCAGGTCTGTCTGATGACAAAGGTGAACTCCCAAATCAGTCATGACAAGGAGATAAGGATGACCGTAGGCGCAGGGAGATCTTAGGTGGTGTGAGAATGTGTTTCCGAAGGGGTACCGAAGAACAAGAAGAAGCAAGGATGATAGTCAACACAAGCCAACAGTAAAAGAGTAGACAGACATGGAGCGAAATGCACCGACTCGCTTCTGCTCAGTCATGGCTCAGGCATCAGGCCTACACAATTAGGTATTCTGATCAGAGATGGCCTGCTTATGATAAATTAGTTGCAACAGCTGTAGGGAAATACAATAGTCCACAAGGAGAGTGACAAATAGCTTTCTCAGCATTTCTTGGAACAAATGAAAACAAAGCCGAGAGGTGTCTGAGAAGATGTGAAACGATCAGTGGGGAGGTTTGCTAAAGGAAGAATAATATTCTTAAATCTCATTTGTGATAAACGTCCCAATGCTTGGGCCAGAGTGTTGGCCATATTGAGGGAAAAATAATTTTCTATACATTCATGAGAAATCCTTTCCCACTCTTTAAGCACTGTTTTCAGAGTCTTCTGTTTCCTCTTCACAGCATGCTTTACTTGGTGCGTCTGAAAAGCTGGTTCCTGGGTTCTCAGGAGAGCCGCAGCAAAATAATCCTATCCAGTTTTGGAGCTGGGGCATCGCCTAGCTTGTAATGTGAGGTTCTTCCTTTCTGCCAGTTCTGTCTGGCATAGGGAAGAACAATGTTGGAGAGAAGTTGAGTGCCACACGAGAAAGTGAGGGGTTTGCAATTTGCCAGACTGAAAAAATTACTCTAATGGGAAAATATAAATTTTCTTACTTAAATATTTCTTCTTTCTCCTGGCATTCA